CTTCCAAGCTGGAAACTAGTAGAAGGACCTTTAGATTGAAGGGGGAGCTGCCCCTATCTCCTTCACAATAGCCATAGCATTTCTGAAGTAGCAGCATCTAGAAAGAAAAAATGGTTCATGATTTGGTTACATGCAGTTCGGAATCCAGTTGCAAAAGTGCATTTCTGGCTCACTATTTCCACATCAATGGCCACAGATAGAGGAAAAATATGCCGGACAGCCCTAGAGATCAGAGAGGTACGATCAGGCATACCACCTCCTTAACAATCCATATCCCTTTAAAGATGAGCTCTGAACTGTCTGACAAAAGGACAACATTATTAAATGCAGGGAACAATAATCACCGGAATTGTATTACATGCAGTCAGTGTTACATTTTCCATGTAAATTAAATAATATCATGCTGAGTTTTTAACCATAGCCCCAGTTACTTCTTTTTTCTGTCCCACTTGCTTTTTGGATTGTGATCACTTGCATTATCACCCTTGCCCCCAAAACCCCAAGTTACGTTGTCTAGTGATGCTTGCCGTGAATGTCCTCTCTTACCATGACAAGCCCTTTGGTGATCTGCTCCGAGCAGCCATGGCACAGTTCCCCAAAGTGGGCCCAGTAATCCTTTTTGCAGTAGAGACGACCATCCTTCTCGTAGTACTGATGGGAAAGCAAAGCTCCACATTCGCAGCACCTGCAGGGACAATAAGGAAATAGGTTTTCAGCCTCGGGACTTTTAATGGAAAGCTACTGTGTGAAGAGCTTCCAAAACTAGAGCTTGAAGGAGGCGTACTCCCACAGGTTCAGAGAGGTTGTGTTTCGCCCAGCATGCTTAATTTAGACTGCTACTAATTTAGTCAGACAAATGACTCTTGGATTCAGTAGGACACGCTTGCTAGGTTAAGAGCCACCGATTTGGGAAAAAGAGAAACCTTGTTCAGTTCCTCCTTATTGCCTTTTTCCTATGTAACACAGCATCTGAAGTCCTTGCGTTTTCTTACTCCAGTGGCCATCTCTTGATTGCT